GGCCATGTGTAGCAACATGGATGGACCTTGAGGGTGTTATGCTGAGCGAAATAAGTCAGGCAGAGAAGGACAAATATCATATGTTTGCACGTATAGGAGGATTAGGAGGAACTTAACAGAGGACCAAGGGGGAGAAGAAGGGGGGAAATGGTGGGGGAAAGGGAGAGAGGCAAACCATGAGAGACTCTTGAATGCTGACAAAAACTGAGAACTGATGGATGGAGGGGGGAGGGGGGATGGGCATGGAGGAGGACACCTGGGGATGAGCACTGGGTGTTATGAGGAAACTAATTTGACAATAAACTATTTGTTAAAAAAAAAAAAAAGTTGAGTAATTAAAAAAAAAAGAATTCAGACCCCTTGAGAGAATGTGTCTTTTTTCCCCACTCTGTTGTGTCCTCAGAGCCTTATACGGTGCTTGGCATGTACTTGGTAGGTGCGCAGGTAGGGGAGGGGCGGGCGGGGGTGTACAGAGGATCTGAAGCAGGCTCTGAGCTGACAGCAGTGAGCCAACACACCAAATGTGAGATCACAACCTGAGCTGAAGTCAGATGTTCAACTGCTCACCTGACTGAGCCACCCAGTTGCCCTGGTAGGTGCTTAATAAATATTAGTTGAATCAGTGATAGGATGAATGTGTCTTACCCTGCTCATCTCCATCCTATTTCTTTAACATCTCACTCAAGACTAAACTCCAGTAAGCACTACGAGGTCATTTCTGACCACCACAACATTAAAGAATATCTTCCATCTATTTCCTCTTAAATTTATGTCACTGAAAAAAGTGGGTGACCTCTCTTCTCTTTCTTCCTCCCACTCTTCCACCTATCTCTGGCATCCATCAATTTTTCCCATTTTGGAGGTGCTCAGGATTTTAAAAATTTTATTTTAATGGATGAGGTAGCAAGCCAAAAGCTAAATATCTAATGATCCTCCTGTAACTGGTGCTGTGATCTGAATGTGAGGGCCTCTTTCCCTGGAAGAATATAAGGAACTGGATTACATGGGGGATATTGGTATGGTAGCTAGACAGTTGATGTGTTATATATTTAAATTGTGCCTGGAAAAAACCCACAAAGTCACAAAGTTAATAATTGGTGACATAAGTGAAGGGTACAGGCGAGTTCCTGCAGCTTCTCTTTGGGTTTGAAACTATTTTAAAATAAAATGTTAAAAATTCTTTCCCTCTTAAAAAATGTACAAAGCTAAATTTATCAATCTTTTTCTTCATAATATTTAGCTTTCATGCCATGCTTGGAAAAGCCTTTGTCTTAAAATCATAAGAATATATTTTTAAATTTTTTAACCTTGACTTATTTTTGAGAGAGAGATTGACAGAGTGTGAGCGGGGGAGAGGCAGAGAGAGACGGACACAGAATCGAAACAGGCTCCAGGCTCTGAGATGTCAGCACAGAGCCTGACACAGGGCTTGAACCCACAAACTGCAAGATCATGACTTGAGCTGAAGTCCAACGCTTAATTGACTAAGCCACCCAGGCGCCCCAAGATCATAAGAATATTAGCTCACATTTTCTTTCTATAGTTTTATTTATTTATGTTGAAATTTTTGCTCTATCTGGAATTTTGCTGTGGAGGTAGGAAAATAATCCATATTTTACCCCTCATATGTCTAATCAGTGTTCCCCCAAACTTTTATTGAATAATCAATCTTTTCTACTGCTGTCAAATGATTTGTTTATTGTGTACTTAAAGTCCTAATATATTACATGCATATGTGATACTTCTTGATATATCCTGGATATATTCCACATCCTTTGATGTTTCCATGCATACATTTCTCAGTATTTATATACCTCCTCCATTATAATTTTTCTGGTGTTTTTTGGCTATTTATTCCCGTAGAAGAATTTCAGAACACTTTAATTTGAGGATTAATTTCAGACAACACACAAACCAGTTCAAAGGAGTTAATAGGGTATATGCAAGATTTTGTCATATAATTGGAGTAAAAGTGGAACAACCAGGCTTTCGTAAGGATTAAATAATCAAGAAGGACCTGGGTTAATGTGATGGAGATATTTAGACTATTACTCTACTTTGCCTAATAATTATATGACTTAATCTCTATCATCAGCTTTAAAGTCTAGTTCAGGGCACCCGGGGACTCAGTCAGTTAACATTCCATCTGATTTTGGCTCAGGTCATGACCTCAGGGTTTGTGAGATTGAGCCCTGAGTTGGGCTCTGCATTGATGGCACAGAGCCTGCTTGAGATTCTCTCTCTCTCTCTTTCTCTGGCCTTCCCTCATTCATTCTCTTTCTCTCTCTCTCAAAATTAATAAATAAACATTAAAAAAATAAAGTCTAGTTCAAATTCTTAGGAGAAATAATTGAATTGATCACTGGCCAACCAATAGGTTTGTTCTTCCTGATTCAGATACCTGTAGAGGTTGTGTTATAAATATGGCTGTTGGAGACTGTTTTCACAAGGGAAATTTTTTCTGAAAATGAATATATGGGTTTGACAGACATTATAAATAATGTCTAGTAAAAGTTTTATGATACTAAGTCCTTTAGTCTAAGATCAATGTTTTTTCATTTATTCACATCTCTTCCTATGACCCCTCATAGAGTTTTTTTAGAATATTGTCCCCAAATATATGTTTAGGTATTTTATACTTTTTGTCATTTTGAAAGGGATCTTCTTCAGTATGTCAGAATTGTTAATTGGTTATTTTTTGTATGTAAGAAAGTAATTATCTTTTATATTTTTTAACTATTTTTGATTAACTCTTAATCAACTAGTGTATTGAGTTTTCTGCTTATTTTGATTTGTTGTCAATTTTTTCTCCTGAGTTTGCTAAGTATAGAGTCATATTATCTACAAATTTTTGTTTTGTTTCTTTATTATATATTCCTATATTTTATATTCTTTTTAAAATTCTAAAATCTTTATTATGATCAAAAAGAAACCAGTAAGTTATTTTCATTTTTTTAAATCAAGGTAAAGGAGGGGCGCCTGGGTGGCTTAGTCGGTTAAGCGGCCGACTTTCGCTTAGGTCATGATCTCGCGCTTCGTGGGTTCGAGCCCCACGTCGGGCTCTGTGCTGACTACCAGCTCAGAGCCTGGAGCCTGTTTCAGTCTGTGACTCCCTCTCTCTCTGACCCTCCCCTGCTCACTCTTTCTCTCTCCTAGAAATAATAAATAAAAAAAAATAAAAAAAATAAATCAAGGTAAAGGACAGAAATATTGTGTTACATTTTGTGAAGTCTAACAAAAATGTGAAGCAAGATACTGAACTTCTTGTTGAGCTTAACTGGAAATAATCTGCCCAACCCTCCCTCTTCTTCCCTCCCTCCCTTCCATTCTTTCTTCCTTCATTCCATCCATCCATCCATCCACCCATCCATCCATTTTTGATCCATCCATATATGCATGCATCCATCCCATAAATGTTTATTGCTGCCTTTTTTGTACCATAGATTCTTGTGGCCACTATAAGAAGGACAACATCCCTGCTCTTAAAGACTTTGAATGGAAAAACAAACACAAAGGCGAGCAATTATAATAGTGTATAAGGCAAAGCACAGGGTGTTAACGGAGACCCATAAAAAGGGGACATGGTGTAGGTGCCCTTTTTATGTGCAGGGAAGGAGAGTAAATCTAAAAAGATTTCTAAGGAAATATTTGAATGGAAGAAGGATCATACTCTCAGTAAATGTGTAATGCCATTTAGTTGCTTTAAAATTCTTGGGTGTAGCCATGTCAATATTTTTAGCTGTTACCATTCTGAAATCTTCATGAATCTCAAGATTTTCTATTTGCCTTTGCAGCTCATGAGGCCGGTGACAGTCTGGGGAATCCGGAGCTGGATACAAGTCTGCTGGAGGAATTCTTGGGCAATGATTTTGAGCTGGGGGCCTTGTAAGTCATGAAAGTACTGTTCTCCATAGGATGTTTTAAAAGTTATGAGATAGTTAAGTGAGCTGGAAAGTGTTCTTTCCTCTTCTGTTTTCCAGAAGGGCATGGATGGAGTTGATACTGTTTCTTCTATAAATCTTTGGTAGTTTTCACTGAGTAGGGTCTGCTGGGCCTGGAGTCTTCTTTATAGAAAGGTTCTCTCTTTCCAATTCAATATCTTTAATAGATATGGGGCTATTCAGGTCACCTATTGGTAGTTATCAGCTTAGGCAGTTTACGTGTTTCAGTGTATTTACTGATTTCATCTAAGTTGTCAAATTCACTGGCATAAAGTTATTCATGTCCCCTTATTTTACTTGAATGTCTACAGAATCTGTAGTGATGATCCTTTTGCTGTTCTTGACATCAGCAATTTGTGTCTTTCTATTCTTGATCCATTTGGCAAGAAGTTCATCTGTTTCCTAAACCCGTTGAAGATCCAGCTTTTAGTTATTTTTATAGTCCTAATTGTTTTTCTGTTTTGTATTTCATTGGTTTCTGCTCTAATATTATATTAACATAGCTACTTCAGCTTTCTTTTATTTTTAATTTATATACAGTAATATTAAATTTCTATCCTGTATATGGTTTTGTGAGTTTTGACAAATTTTTAGAGTTGTAGAACTGCTATCACGATCAGCACAAACAATAGCTCCCTCACCTGAAGCATTTCCCTGATGCTTCATAAGGGAAACTCATCACCCACCCTGAGACCCTAGTGACAACTGATCTGTTCGCTGCCCCTATAGTTTTGCTTTCCTGAAATGTCACATAAATGAAATCTGTGGTGTATAACATTTTTGGTCTGGCTTCTTTCACTAGGCATAAAGTCTTTGATCGATAGCTCATGCCTTTTTATTGCTGAGAAAGACTACTGAATGTTTATAATACATTTTGTTTATCCACTTACCTTTTCAAGGACATTTGGATTATTTCCAGTTTTGGGCAATTATGAGTAGCTTCTTTAAATATTAGTGCACAGGTTTTATGTGGTCAAGAGTTTTAATTTTTTTTTTTTAATATTTTTATTTATTTCTAGGAGAGAGAGAGAGACAGCGTGAGCAGGGGAGGGTCAGAGAGAGAGGGAGTCACAGACTGAAGCAGGCTCCAGGCTCTGAGCTGGCAGTCAGCACAGAGCCCGACGTGGGGCTCGAACTCACGAACCGCGAGATCATGACCTAAGCGAAAGTCGGACACTTAACCGACTAAGCCACCCAGGCGCCCCAATTTCTTTTGTTTTTAATGTTTATTTACTTCTGAAAGAGAGAGAGAGATACAGAATGCAAGTGGAGGAGGGGACGAGAGAGAGGGAGACAGGATCTGAAGCATGCTCCAAGCTGTGAGCTGTCAGCACAGAGCCTGATGCTAGGCTCAAACTCACAAACTGTGAGGTTTTGACCTGAGCCAAAGTCAGACGCTTAACTGACTGAGCCACCCAGGTGCCCCAAGAGTTTTAATTTCTATAGGGTAATATTTAGAATAAAGACTCCTGGGTTGTATTTTTTTAAATAGTTTATTGTCAAGTTGATTTCCATATAACACCCAGTGCTCATCCACAAGTGCTCTTCTCCATACCCATCAGCCCCCTTCCCCTCTCCCCCACCCTCATCAGCCATCAGTTTGTTCTCAGCATTCAAGAGTATCTCATGGTTTGCCTCCTCCCTCTCCCCAGCTATTTCCCCCCTTCTTCTCTCTCCTGGGTCATATTTTAAGTGTAAGCTTAACTTTATAGAAATTGCCAAATTTTCTAGAGCAGTTATACCATTTGCCATTACCTCCTGCAGTATATGGGAGAGATCCAGTTGCTTCTCTTTATTGCCAGTTCTTGATATTATCAGTTCAGAATTTTTTTTTGTTATAGCCATTCTGTAATAAAAAGCCATTCTATACTGGTATCTCATTGTGTTTTAACTTGCGTTTTCCTAGCGACTAATGATGTTGAGTATCATTTCATGTGCTTGTTTGCTATTTATACCTTTTCTTTGGTGAAGTGTCTTCACATTTTTTGCCCATAAAAGTTTTCTTACCTTTGAGTTTAGACAACTGTTTAAATATTCTGGATATAAGAACTTTGTTGGATATATGATTTGTGAATATTTTCTCCCAGTCTGTAACTTCTCATTCTTTTAACAGTGTCTTTCCCAGAACAAAAATTTTTAATTTTTATAATGTCCAATTTATCCAACTTTTCCTACATAGTTTATGCTTTATATCTAAGCAATATATATATTGCCTACTCTAAGTTCCCCCAAATTTTCTTCTGTTTCCTTCTAAAAGTTTTAGAGTTTTACATTTTACTTTTAAGCCTACGATCCATTTTGAGTTAATTTTTGTGTAAAGTTTGAGATGTAAGTTGAGATTAATTTCCTTGTGTATGGATGTCTAATTATTCCAGATTTATTTGATGAATAACCATTCTCCATTGAATTACTTTTAGTGAAAAATCAGTAGTATTTTTTTGGGGCGCCTGGGTGGCTTAGTCGGTTGAGCGTCCGGCTTTCGCTTAGGTCATGATCTTGCGGTTTGTGGGTTCGAGCCCTACGTCAGGCTCTGTGCTGACTGCCAGCTCAGAGCCTGGAGCCTGCTTCAGTCTGTGACTCCCTCTCTCTCTGACCCTCCCCTGCTCACGCTGTCTCTCTCTCTCTCCTAGAAATAAATAAAAAATTAAAAAAAAAATCAGTAGTATTTTTTATCTAAGAAAAAGTCAAATGACCATATTTGTGTAGATCTAGATCTAGACAAATGTTCCATCCCATTGATCTATGTGCCTATCGTTTTGCCAATACTACACTATTTTTAAGAGATGTATTTTCTGGCTAGAAATTTACCCCCTTTTCAGCCTTGAGAAACAGGATAGAAACAGATGAGGGAGAGGGAGAAGATGAGAAGAAAACAAAACTCTGTCACACAGTGAAGCTAAATCAGACATAAGATGAGGCAGTGGGAATATAGGATGTGACTAATAAAGAATTTCTGTTTTTTTTAAATAAATGCCTTTTCATTGGCAAATATCCTCTTCTAATGTTTATTTATTTTGAGAGAGAGAGAATGAGACACAGACAGAGACAGAGTGTGAGCAGGGGAGGGGCAGAGAGAGGGAGACATAGAATCCGAAGCAGACTCCAGGCTCTGAGCTGTCAGCACGGAGGCTAACATAGGGCTTGAGCCCACAGCCTGCAAGATCATGACCTGAGCCAAAGTTGGGCACTTAACCCAACTGAGCCACCCAGGTGCCCCATGGAATTTCTGTTTTTAAGGGATATGTTTTCTGGCTAGTTGTGCACATAAAAATCCCCCCCCCCCCCCACTTTTCAGCCCAAAGAGACAGAATGGAAACAGATGAGGAAAAGGGAGATGAGAAACAAAACAAAACTCTGAATACTATCTTGATTATTGTGCTCTTATTATAAGTCTTGAAATTCTATAGTGTAAGTACTCCAAATCTGTCTTTCTCAAAATTATTTTTTCTATTCTAGTTCCTTTTATTTCTCATATAAATATTAGAATTAGCTTGTTGGTATCTGCACAATCCTTCTGGGATTTTGATTAGGATTGTATTAAGTTCAGAGATCCATATGCAGAAAGTTGATATCTTAACAGAATTTGAATATTCCAATCCATCAACATGGTGTATCTCTCCATTTATTTAGGCCTTTTTAATAATTTCTTTCATCGGTGTTTTATATATCTCAGGATGTATATCTTGCACATATTTTGTTAGATTTATGTCTAAATATTTCATGTTTCTCTTTGAGGTATTGTAAATAATGGTTTTTTTCCCCTCAAAGTTTTAGGTTCCAATTATTCATTGCCAACATATAATACTAGTATTGATATTTATATATTGGTTGGGTCCTGCAATCTTAATGAAGTCATTTATTAGTTCTGAGATCTTTTTCATAGATTTTGGGGGATTTTCTATGTTTACAATGATGTCATCTGCAAATTGGGACAGTTGTATGTCCCAAACTCTTTGCCTTTAGATACCTTTTTTTTCCCTGTATGAAACTGGGTAGAACTTTGGGTACAATGTTGAATAGAGACGTAGAGACAGCAGATGTACTTGCCCTGTCCTTGATCTAAGAGGGCCATTATTCAGTTTTTTAAAATCATTAAGTATGATACAGTGCCTTTTTTCCCCTCTCAAATATTTTTTATTTATTTATTTTGAGAGAAAGAGTGAACAGGGCAGGTGCAGAGAGAGAGGGAGAGAGAATCCCAAGCAAGCACTGTGCTGTCAGCACAGAGCCTGATACAAGGCTTGAACTCACAAACCATGAGATTATGACCTGAGCCAAAACCAAGAGTCAGTTGCTTAACTGACTGAGCCACCCAGATACCCCAATGCATTTTATTAACTGAGGGAGATTCTCTTCTGCTCCTGTTTCCTCTCCCTAATTTTTGTATCTTGAATCAACTTTGTATTCCTGGGATAAACCTCAGTTTGTTGTGATGTATTATCTTTACACATATTGCTAGATTCAATTTACTAACATTATGTTGAAGATTTTGCTCTTACATTCATGAGGATATTGATCCGAAGTTTTCTTATATTGTGTTTTTCTGGCTTTGGTGTCAGAGTAATTATAGCTTCTTAAAAATATTTGGGAAGTGTTCCTTCCTTTTAAATTCTCTGGGTAAGATTGTGTGGAATTGGGTTTATTTCTTCTTTAAACTTTTGGTAGACTTAACCAGTGAAACCATCCTTGCCTGTAGTTTGCTTTGTTGGAAGATCTTAACTAAAGATTAAATTTATCCAATAGATACAAGACTATTCATGTTAACTCTTCCTGCTTAAGTGAGTTTGGTAGGTTGTCTCCTCTCCCTGTTGCCCCCAAGGAGTAAGTCCATTTCAAATATATGGACACACTTCAAAGTATTTCTTATTAGCCCTTTACAGACTCTGAGGAGTCTGTAGTGATATTTCCTCTTCTGTTCAGCATATTGGTAATATACTTCATTTC